CTCTCTCTCTCTCTCTCTCTCTCTCTCTCTCTCTCTCTCTCTCTCTCTCTCTCTCTCTCTCTCAGAGGAATGACAAGAGCTGTCGAATAGAGGAAAAAGAGAGGAACTATAATGACATGGCTGGGAGCATGGCTGTCAGCATTGATTATGCTCTCTCTCTCTCTCTTTCAGAGCTATGGCGTCGTCGACTACCCTAATGCTACTTCCACTTCATCCGATGCTTGGTAGCACAAGACCGGGACAGGGCTTCCGGAGCAAAGCTCAAATGGGAATTGTGTCATCCCTTTCTCTCTCGATGGGCCTTCCTGTTTGGCTGCAGTTCCCGATCTTCGACTCTCTGGACCAGTCCATGGTTGGCCTTCGACTGACTTTGCTGGACTGAGCTGTGGTTGGACTGGACAGACTGACGACTGACTGGACTAACTGGACTTGGTAACAAACTGGGTCTACTTGTTACCTAACCTAGCAGGCCTACTAGACCTGCCACTAGGACAGGCCCACGGGCCTACCGGATGGGAGTATGGTACATGGGACTCCAGGACGCTGGTACTGTAGCTGGGACTTAGACACTGAGATGTGTGAGATCTTTTCAGTACCCCTTCGAACAACATTAGAACCTGTTGATACCCCCGAACCCCCCCGAGGTGCCCTATTTGGCCCCCAACCCCCCTCCAGGTGCCCCGTCACCAAATGGGAAGATAAGGAAGAATTCTGACCAGGTTTGTCGACCCCCGGCCCTGGACCCCGTCCGTCCGGGGATCCGGGCGTGGGCCCCCGCAACCCCAGGTCCGGACCCACTGGGAAAAAAACGGAAAAAAGTGGGGGGTGCGCACCGATGGCCTGCACCCGTTGGCCCAGAAAGTCACCATCACACTTCTACCCCACCCCAGACCCCCCTGAGGGGGCACACCTGCTGCTGGTGAGACCGGGGTGGCCCTCAGCACGGGGCAGGGGCGGGGACGTCTGGTGGTGACCGCGAAGGCGGGGGTTGGGGAGGAGGTGGGCGCGGGGGTGCGTTGGCGGGGACCGGGGAGGGGGTGGGCCGGGGCTGGTGCCGCGGTGGGTGCGAAGGTTGGGGGTGTGGGCAAGGATGGGTGACCCGCAGGGCAGGGTGTCGGGGTCGGGGGCGTGGGTGGGCGCGGTGGTGGGTTCTGGGTTGGGGGTGGGGGTGGTGGTGGGGGCTGGGTTGGGGGTGGGGGTGGGGATGTGTGAGCGGGGGGGAACGGTGGGGGTCCAACCCTTTTTTTTTGGGGGGGGGGAAGTGGTTCCCCGCATTTCTGCTCGTGGGGAACCATCATTTTTTTTCCGAAATCTCACCCCTTGGGGTCGGGGGTCAGGGATCCCTGCGCCGGCACCCGGGGGTCAAAGCACAACACCAGCTCAGCCCCCGGGGACGTGAAGATCACTGTGATCTGGTTTGGTATGGTCTAGTTTCTGTGTCCATTGTAGCGCTGGTATCTGTAAATGAAAGTAAACCCAAATGAAAGTAAACTACCTTGTGAGAGGTTAGATGACATGTTACTAATAACAGAAGACAGATTACACACACATGGGGTGTAATTCTCCTGGGCTGCTGTTTCAAAGCAAATCGAGATAGGACCAGGGCTCTATTGATGTGTCATGGGGAGGTCTCATGGTGTGAGCCCTGGCTTGTAGAGTGGGCTGACTTGCTTGGACGGCTTTTGTCACAGTTCATCAGCATGGTAGGACACATGCTTTCATTAATCGGGATGTGTGCTGTTGAGAGGATCTTGTTTGATGGAAATGATTGATGTGATGTGTTGACTTACGACTCTCTGTGGTGCTCAAGTACAGTTTGGAGAGTACACTGCTTCTTGCCCACTCCCTTTATTCATCTCTTTGAGTGCGTCATTCAGGGCAGACGGGTGTGTGGACACGTGTCAACGACGCAAATGAGGCTTACCTTGCACTCTTTTTAACTCTAAATGGATGTGGGTAGATGTTTGAATGATAGCTGGTGATTGGATGCACAACACACCTCCTTCTTCCGTTTCTTTATCTAGCTCTTTGTCACTCCCCCTTCTTTTCCACGGTTTCATCTCTGTTGTGAGGGCAAGACGAGCGGAGGTGTTGATGGTAATGCTGCGGATGTTTTGCTGTTTGCAGTGTCCGGATCTCTACCTAGAGGCAGCGTTCAAGTTTATGCTTGCAGCAGCGGTCGTGGAACCTGGCCCATGTGAATCTTCTACGCGACAGGGGGATCCGACGACTTCTGCATCCGTGTACATAGATACCACAAGGCTGTTAGAGTGAGTGCTCATTAAGGACATCCGACCTTTTGACGTATCTGTCTTGTGTTTGTTGATGTAGAAAAGCCTCGTTTCACAGAGCTTGGAAAGAGAGGTGACCAGAGAAGATTTCTTTCACTGCTTTGCAATCAGTCTATTAGCACACGCATCTTGTTCGTTTCGGTATGCATGTCTGCTCTTGAAGTATTGGAGAATGCATTGACATTGGGCATCTGGGAAGCATGTTTGGTTTCAGATTGTTTGGAACTATGGGCTTCGCTCAGACTACTCTCAAAATGTGCAAAACAAGAGTGAATCTTCCGCTAGAACTTGGAAAGATACGCCACCATGATTTTGCCTTTTGTGCATGTCGAGAGTAGTGGAGCGAGGCCCTATATCAAGGTTTAGTTCTAACTAATGGCTGTGAGCTCTGGTTGTCCAGCCTACTGCTCAGTCAAGAAGAAATGCTGGATTTGATCTGTCTTAAGCTCCAAGCTGGCACAAGGGCCAGGTGGGTACCTTACGGTCCCACGTATGGTCCCACATATGGTCACAAATGGTCCCACATATGGTCCCACATATGGTACCACCATAGCTGGCATTGGTCTCATTGGTGGTACCATACACATGCTATGAAAGCTTGCAACGACGACTCCTATGAGTGCCATGCTGTACACGGTCGTGTGGTCATCACCGGCAGTCTGTAGTTAAGGTTTCTTTTCAGCATGAAAGGCGCACCATGTTCATCTCTTCCTCCTTTTTTCTCATTAAACGGCCAGTTCCCTGGAGTGCTGGCTGCTGATCCTATCCGCGGCCAGTGTCCAAACCACTTTGGTGACAGTGAGATGAAGGTCATGTCCTGAAACGAACTTTTTCTAAGCCTCGCTCTCAAAGGTAAGAAATGGGGGGCCATAGGGGGCTACCACTTCCCGAGGAAAAAGAAAAACGCAACGGGTACAGGCCCTTGCAAAAACAGAAAACAAAAAGGAACGTCGGGTACAGTCAGGGCCTGGTTCCACCGCACAGCATTTTACACGCTCCTGGATGTGAAAAGGTCCCGATACGTTTGACAAATTGGATCAGCACAAAGGGACGTTAAAGTTTCTCTTTTAGGAATTTTCCTTTATTGCGAGGATCTGTGTCCTCGGTAGGCCTATGGGGCCCTGTTTGCAGCATTGCCCTCCCTAAGTGAAGGTGGAGGTGCCCGCCCTAAGTGAAGGCGGGCCTAACATATCACAAGAGGCCGTCGACTGTCAATTTCATATTTGGGGTCCAGGCAGTTGCGACGCGCCAGTTGGTTGAGAGAAACTCAGGCCGGGCCACAAAGACATTTCCACGGCCTTCCGGGCTTTTCCAAAGAAGGCAGGACCTGGGTGTGAATCGCAGCCTCATACAGAGACAGTTGGGCGCCCAACCGAACGGAGGCCCAGCAGCCCAGTAGCTGCTGCATACGGGCAGCCTCCTGGGGCCTTCCGGAAGCTTCTGTGCCCAGGCCAGTGCAGCCAGGCTGCGCGAGCAGGCCAGCTCTTTCCTTTATGGAAAGAGCTCACCCCTGGCAGCCTCATTCAGGCACTCGCATGCTAGCGGCAGCGCTGCTGGAGCAAGGGCTCGCGGCTGCTGGCTGGCGCTGAGAGGCGAGGTGCAGCACGTGGGGTCAAGCAAGGAAGAGGGCGCTGCTGTGGGCAGCGCCATAGCCCAGCCACCATGGCTGGTGGGCTTGGACTACAGTGAGGCGCAGGGGTGGTCTTCGGGTGTAAGAGAGGACAGGCGTGGGTGTAAAGTCAAGGAAGGGTGAAGGATGATGATGATGATGATGATGTGAGGGTACTTACCTTGTATTGGCGATGGTCTGCATGGGCGACATCTTCAAGTACTTCGGGTTGCCGCTGATGTCAACAGTTGCATTGTCAATTAGTAGGCTGTAGTAGCTGTGTAGGAGTAGGCTGGGCGCTGAGCGCCAAGTAGGAGAGTGAAGGCACTGGACTCTTGTGTTGGTGTGGAGAGAGTATGCTCGCCTGAACATTGGTTTTCAGTACTATGAACCTCCATTGGTGTTTTATTGGTGCAATGCTGCTCTCTGGACACGGTGTGACTATCTGGCTTTCAATGTATGCTCTCCTGGACATTGGTTTTCAGTACTATGAACCTCCATTGGTGTTTTATTGGTGCAATGCTGCTCTCTGGACACGGTGTGACTATCTGGCTTTCAATGT